GGTGCGTAGGTCCATGCCTGGGATCTGAACCTGCGAACTTCAGGCCTCAAAGTGGAGCATGCGAACTTAACCGCTAGCCACCGGGCCGGCCCCTAATGAAGAATTATTAAGTAAAACATTGGAGCATTGAGGAATTGCTAGGTATAAGTAAAGACAACTCAGAAAACACTTGAATAACATCATATGTATATTTACATTGCCTCAAGAATGTTGACTAAAAATTGCAACACAGAATGGTAAAAAGACTATGTGAATATTTGACTAAAGGACTTACATAGAAATCCTAGAAATTAAGAAAAAATCACATAGGCAAAATATTTGAGCAGAATCTTCATTAAAGAACGTATATCAGTGGTAATTGGGCCTAGAAAAGTTGTTGAACAAGTCATTATGAAATTGTGAGTTAAAACTGACATGAGAAATCACTACAGATCCACTAGGATGAAATTGATGAAAAAGAATCACAGTACAAGATTGGGCTCAGTTTAAACTCTGACTTTTCAGACTTCACTGTCTCCTGATAAAAATGATCTGAGGTGTTAACTTTCTCCATCCTCCACTGATGTGTCCCCAGAGCTATTTCTACCACTCTCTTTGACTAACTACATGATGATTATTAATAGCTCTCTGTAATTTCCATTTCACAACTTTTTTTCTGAGATATCATTAATTCATCCTGCACAACAGTCCTGGCAATCATTGGAATAATGATAATCCCTTCCCAGCAAGAAGACGAGATGATGGTGTTCAGATGCCTTCTTTGCCCACGAGCTCTGCCTGAGAACACTGTAGCCACTATCCCATACCAAAACAGAATTTAATAGTTGCTCTCAGTTTGAGATAGATGTCAGATTCATAAAGAAATTGAATATATCTTCGGATATTGAGTAAGAAATATTAAATAGTGTTGCTGTATGATTTGGACCCGATCACTGAGTGTACAGGCTGGAGAGATGTTCTCTGTGGGAACCAGAGGCAGAGATATCTCCTTGTCCTACTTCAGGGGGGCCTAAACGGCCCTCCTTATCTTCCAAGTCATGGCCCTGACTGAACATACAGAGTTACAAAATCCACTAATGCTTCTGACGACATGCATTTGAATAGCAAGAAAATGTTTATTACATTCCAGCTAAGAGTAGATGCATTTTGTGTCTGAAAGAGAATATGTCCATTTGGATTTGTAGCCTTTGGGAATAACTGAAATAATATTTTTAGCCTATGGGAGCATTCTAAGCTTCAGGGAGTCTGAAATGGTGTCTACACACTTAGGTGATCAGTTGCCGACAACACTCCCCAGAAACCTGCGAACTGCCCCTTTAAGAAGAAGTAAGCACCTCTCGTTCCCCTAAATGCTAAAGTCGTCATTTCCCAGCTCCGCTTGCAGTGCGCTCAAACTTTTATTGGCACAGGTCAAGGATTAAGACACAACCAATGCCTGTGAAACAGAGATAACTACATTACCCAGAGACAATGAGCAAAACAGCGCGGAGTTGAGCCAATGAGAGTACAGGACGGGAATTTCCGTGCGTGCGGGTGGGCTCAGGGCTGGACTTGCGGCGTCTTTCTCGTGGCGCTCTTTTTGGCTTCTCTGGAGAGTGTTTACTCAGTGAGAGACTACCGAGCACTGGGTCACGACTGAGAACGCGCTCAAGATGTGCTCGCTGCACAGAGGCGAGTTTGAGGCTTCGCGGCGGCGCACCTCGAGTGATGCGCACCCGGCGGGGATCGGCAGCTCCGCCCCCAGAGTCCTTTGGCGGCGGCGGCCGCGCGGAGGGAGCCGGCTCAGGTCAGTGCTCGTGCTCCGCGCCCTCCCCGCCCTCAGCCCCGCCCAGCCCTAGAGCCGCGAGTGCGGGCGCCGCTCACGGGCCTGCTGCCCAGGCCCCGGTGTCCGGGACGGGGAGGCGCTTGTGGGGCCTGTTTCTGAGAGCCGGGGTGACGGTTGTGGGAGAGGGTCCCAGACGGAGGGCCCGGCGGGGGAAACGCGTGGAGAGCGGCTGAGCCGGGAGGAATCGGGAAACTCGGGCTCTGTGTTTATGGCTCTGTTTTATGTCTACAGGCAACCGAGAATATGAGGCGAAGTTGTGCCTGAGTTTTACCTTCATTCTCAGGGCGTTGGGAGCCACGGAGGGTTGTGAACAAAAGAGGGCCACTGCCTGAGAAGGGGTTCTCACGGTTTTCCAGAAGCTGCTCAGGGGAAGCGCGGACCGGAGAAGAGATGCTAATAGCTAGGCACAGGAAGGTTGAGTTCTGTAGAGAATTGCGTAACTAGAAGAGTGCACCGAGGACTGAGGCCAGAGGAAATGCAGGCGTCTCGAGGTCACCTGGGTCCTGGGCTGGGCAGCGGTACTTAGCGGCCTGAGCCCATGGGATCCTGGCCATGGTTACCAGAGTCTCAGATGACCTCCCTCTTTCCCCAGATTCCCCAGAACTGCAGAACGGCTTAGGGATACTGGTGTGTGGCCTTTATTTCAGGGCCTCACTAGTCCTCACCCATGCTACCCTATGATCTCTGGGATGATGGTGTCCTGAGACTGTTCTGTCACTCTTCCATCATTTGGGTCTGGGGCACCTTGAACAGGCACCAAGCCCAGGGTCTTAAGTCCAAGCCTAGGGTTCTTTGGATTGGTTCCTATTTTTGGCAGCCAGTGGAAAGAGGTGTGGAAGGTCGTCTTAGACATAGGTACTAGAAGGTGCAAAGATTTGGAGGAGTGGCTGAACTGGTTCAGGGAGCTGCAGGTGTCCTTTCTTTCTCATGGGAACTGGGACCAGAAGGGCAGGAGTCAGATCTGGAACAGTGTTATGAGAGGTTGAGTGTCTCTTCTGGAGGTGATGGGAGCAATGGGAGATATGGAGCAGTGAAGACAGGTGATCTGACCCTGGTTTCATCAGGCGCCCTGGACTGCAACATGAAGAACAGTATGGGTTTGAAGTGGGTGGAAGATCAGTGGGTAGCAAGATCAGAGAGGACGCTACCTCAATAATCTGGGTGAGTGTAATGGTAAGTGGACCAGGGTGGTGGCTGTGGGGATGGTTAGTCATGATTGGGTTCTGGATCAGTGTCTTGTGTATGGATGCCTGCAATTTCTAATTTTGAGGTTGAGAGAGAGGTAGGAGTCACGGATAACTTGAAGGTTTGGTGTTAGCAGCTGGAAGGATGGTAGCTCCATCAACTGAAATGGGGAAGTCCATAGTAAGTAATTTTCAGTGGAGATGTCGGTAGTCTTTTTTATGGCCTGTTAAGGGTTTGAGATGTTTCAGAAAACGGTTTGTGAGTGTTTGGAAGTCTAATGAGGAGTTCAGGATTTAGATTTCTCCAAAAGGTGTGTGCACCATGGAGGAGCTGTAGGTTCCTTTAGTATAGGGGATCCTGGTCAGGATGATAATGGTAATAGTAGCCCAGGAAGAAGAGGGTGGGCTGCAAGTAGGCCTGGTTGTGGGTGTCACAACATAGGTAGAGAGAGGGTGGGGGAGAGCATATGGTTTGGTATGTGGCCGAGGCCTTTGAAGAATGAGTGGAAGTGAGATGGGTGCTGGAGGCATAGGAGGAATTGAAATAAGATGATGCTGAGGCTGAGGCTGGTGCTTATTCACTGCTCTACAGACTCATGAGGACTTTGCTGTGACCCTTGGTGGAGCCCGGGGTGTTCCAGTGTGCTGGTGGTTTCATTTACGGGCAGAAGTGGTCATCTGTGAGACTCTTTGGAAATGTAAAGGGCCACTGGGGCTGGGCCTTGAATGAGGGTTAGGTGGAGACAGGAAAGCTGTGACTGGTGAGGGCGACATCAAGTGGAGGAGGGCCATGGGTGTGTGAAATCTGATGTGGTTGCCGGTAAGTGAGGTTGAAGCAAGGAACAGTCAGAGAGAAGACCTCCTTAGTGGGACTCAAGGCTGCCTTTGTCACTGGGGACCATGAGAGTCGGGTAGTACTTGATCCTCTTTGAATTTGTCTGGATCATGTATACTAAGCAGTGAGTGGACAGGTCAGGGAGATGACTATGGTGAAGGGCAGAAGGTGGCTGTGGCTGTGGGAGTGCAGTTGTGAGAGAGAAGTGTGGTAGAAAGAGTGATGTGCACATGGAGAGGGAGTATGAACTCAGGGTTCCAGGTCCTGGTATTGGCCTAAGAGTGAAGGGTGAGCCCATGTTTGGTGGGGTCTGGGACAAAGGATCTTTGGACCCCCAGGGGAGTTGCCTGAAAAGAGGGGGTGTTGTGGCCTTACAGGTCAGGTCTTGAGTTTAAAATGCCATCTACCTGTCTCCCTGCCTGTTGTTGAGGGCTGACACAGTGATCAATAGGATCACGAGGAGACAGTGAGCGTCAGTGCCACCTGGGCTTGGAAATCTTCACTGATGTAGGGACGAAAGAAGGGTAAGCAGGGAATGGATTAGGGAGGTGCTGATATTAGAATCCTAGGAAAGAGATGATCATGAAACAAACCATCCCGATCATGGCAGGGTTGTGTGACCTTTGAAGTTGTGCCTGTGGGAATGCAGCTGTGGGAGAGAAGTGTGGTTCAAAGAACAATGTTCATGTGAAGAGGTAGTGTGAACTGATGTCCCCAGGTCCCTGGAATTGGAGTCATAAGAGTGAAGGGTGATGCCATGTTTTTTGCATCTTGGAGGGGTGATCTGAGAGACCTCACAGGTATTACTTGACAAGACCAGTGTCAGATCACTCTCACCCTCCCTATGGCCAACTTCTCTCCCTAACCTGTGTTCGTGACACCTATCACATTGACGAGAGGCAGTGTGGCCTACCTGCCAGGCCCAGAGCTGAGATATCATCAATCTGTCCATCTGCCTGTTGTTGCTGTGGGATAACACAGTATCAACGGGAATGTAAAGAGAGAGTGGCTCCAATGGCACTGAGGCCTGGTATCTCCTCTGAGGTAGCGAGTACAGTGAGCAGAGGATGGATGTGGAGGGTGGGAGGGTATGATGAACTTGGAATCCTAGGAGAGAAGCTGATCATGGAATGAACTGTCCCCCTTATGACAGGGAATGAACTTTGAGGACGTGGCCATTCACTTCTCCCGGGAAGAGTGGGGGCTCCTTGATGAGGCTCAGAGACTCCTGTTCTGCGATGTGATGCTGGAGAACTTTGCTCTTGTAGCATTCCTGGGTAAGACCTTCACATCCCTCCTAGTGTCCTGAGATAATGTCCTACCTTTCCTTTCTTCCCCATAGTTAGCTCTGTCTTTCAGACTACTGAACTGTGGGCCCTGCTAATTCCCCTCACTTTCTTATCATATGTGCTGTGAGTGACAGGGCTGAGCTGTGTGTCATGCCCTGTGAAATGGACTCTCCAAGCAGCCCTAACATGTGTTGCCTCAAACAGTGCAGGGGAGGGTCTGGGAGTCAGTAGTGTTGGAGTCAGCTTAATGGATCCTGCCTTGCTTGCCCTCTACTTGGGAGGGTGACTATGTCTAGATCCATGGCCTCCAGTTTTGCCACCTTCCTCAGGCTATGTCTTTTTTGTGGCTACCTGTGCCAGGTCATGGTCATTACTGCCATGAACTATGAACTGTTCTTGTAAGGCCCTTTTTCACTTGGCTTTTGTAATATTTTCTTTTTGTTGTTGTTGAGGAAGATTGTCCGTGAGCTAACATCTGTTGCCATTCTTCCTCTTTTTGCTTGAGGAAGATGGTCCCTGAGCTAACATCTGTGCCAGTCTTATTCTATTTTGTCTATGGGATGCAGCCACAGCATGGTGGCCTGTGCAGCATGAGGAGCACTGTGTAGGTCCACACCTGGGATCCGAACCCACGAATCCTGGGCTGCTGAAGCAGAGCGGGCAAACTTAACCACTATGCCTCCGGGCCAGCCGCAATATCTTCTTTTCTGAATACTGCTGTATGCCAGTTGGCTTTGGGTTAGTCCTGGTCCCTCACTTATGCTGTGTTTCATTAAGATTCAAATCATTTAGGTTGTGAGTAGTTCCACAATGGAGTGTACGGGGATAACCCTGGTTCTTCACAGGGTAAGCACGGCAAGATGATTTCAGAGGAAGCCTGGCTCCGTTGACTGTAAACTAGGGGAGGACATGACATCAGGGCTGTGTTCAGATCTTACCAGGAACCTGCCATGTGTCCAGTAGTGTTTGGTGCAAGTGTCACTGGCCACACTTCTTTCTACCTCTTCATTCCCATACGTGACACTTTGCTCACCTGTCATCCTGACTCGGCTTTTGGCCACCTTCAACTTTGAGACCTCTGTGTGTCACCTGTTCCTCTGCAATATTCTCCAACATTGACCTGCACTTGTGTCATGAAGTGTACACATATCCGTAAATAGTCCTTGAACACCATCTACTCAGTTCCAATTGAATTTTATTGGGACAGAACACAACTAGCCGTCCACACAGCATGTTCATGTCACCAGCAGACCAGGTCCTGCTGAAGGCTATTGGCAGAGGAGTGATTTGGAGACTCTGCCTGTCCTCCATGTGGTGTACCCCATCCTTGTGTCTTTTGTCTGGTGAGATCTCCCCAGAGATCTGTGATCCTCAGAGACCCGATACTGCTAAGCAATCCTTCCTAAACCTGCCCCCAAGTCCCTTGCTTTCAGAACAATCCCTTGGACCCAACTTGTTGTGTCTGATGCACCTTTGTAATGGGGCTTTCCCCACCCACCAAAGTTAACTTACATTTTCTCAACATTTCTGTACTTTCAGGTTGTTGGCATGGAACAGAAGATGAGGAGGCCCCTTCTGAGTGGAGTGTACCTGTAGAAGGAGAGTCACTGGTCAGGGTTTCTAAGGCAGGTCCATCTGCCCAGAAGAGCCACTCCTGTGAGATCTGTATCCTAGTCTTGAAAGATATTTTGCACCAAGCTGAGCACCAAACAGTATACTCTTTGCGGAAACCATACTTGGATCACACATGTTTGAGATGTTTGTGGTTCCATGCAAACCTTCACCAGCAACAGAGGCAGTGCAGTGGAGAAAAGCCCTGGAAAAGAGATGTGCATAGGGCCTCATTTGTGACGAGCTGCAGCTTCTGTATGTCAGGGGAGCCTTTCACTTGTAGGGAGGTTGGAGTGGACTTCCTGGCCACATCTGGCCTTCTCCCACACCAAGCCACTCCCAACAGTGAGGAGCCACACAGTGAGTGTGGGCAGGCCTTTCCCCATGGAAAAAGTCATTACAAGTGGGGTGAACGTGAAGACTCTCAGAGCCAGAACCACACACTTGTTCAACATCGGAGTGTCTGCTCTGGAGAAGAGCTTTATGAGTGTGGCAAATGTGGGAAAGCCTTCAGCTGCAACTACAGATTTGTTCAGCACCAGGAAGTTCACACTGGACAAAGTCCATGTGACTATGGTGCATGTGGAAAATTCTTGAGCAAAACCTCTGACTGTATTAAACATCGGAGAATTTGCATTGGGGAGAGGACTTATAAATGCAGTGAATGTGGAAAAGTCTTTATCCACAAATCCAAACTCATTCACCACAAGAGACAGCACAGTGAAGGAAAGCATTATGAATGTGGCGAATGTGGGAAATCCTTTAGATATGAATCTCACCTCATTGAACACGGGAGAGTTCACACTAGAGAAACACCTTATGAGTGCAGTCAGTGTGGCAAATCCTTTAGGCACAAATCCAGCCTCATTGAACACTGGAGAGTTCACACTGGAGAAAGACCTTATGATTGCACTGAATGTGGGAAATCCTTTATCTACAGATCCCACCTCATTGACCACCGGAGAATTCACACTGGAGAAAGACCTTATGAGTGCAGTGAATGTGGAAAGTCCTTTAGAGACCGCTCTAGCCTTTTCCGACACCGGAGTGTGCACACTGGAAAAAGGCCTTATGACTGCAATGAATGTGGGAAATCCTTTACCCGTAAATTGTACCTCATTCAACACCAGAGAATGCATACTGGTACAAGTCCTTATGAGTGTAGTGAATGTAGGAAATCTTTTACCTCCAAATTCTCCCTCATTGAACACGAGAGAATTCACACTGGAGAAAGACCTTATGAATGCAGTGAATGTGGGGAGTCCTTTAGACAAAACTCGAGCCTTTTCCAACACCAGAGCATCCACAATGGAGAAAGACCCTATGACTGCACTGAATGTCGGAAATCCTTTACCCGCAAATTGTACCTCATTCGACACCTGAGAATGCATACAGGTACAAGTCCTTATGAGTGCAGTGAATGCGGGAAATCTTTTAGCTCCAAATACTCCCTCATTGAACACCAGAGAGTTCACACTGGAGAAAGACCTTATAAATGCAGTGTATGTGGGAAGTCCTTTAGTCGACGCTTCACCCTTATTCAACACCAGAGTGTTCATTCTGGAGAAAAGCCTTATGAGTGTGGGGAATGTGGGAAATCCTTTAAACAAAGTTCTGTCCTTTTGCAACACCAGAGAATTCACACTGGAAAAAGACCTTATGAGTGCACTGAATGCGGAAAATCCTTTATCCGCAAATGTGATCTCATTCAACACCATAGAATTCATACTGGCTCAAGACCTTATAAATGCAGTGAATGTGGGAAATCTTTTAGACAATACTCTGGTCTTTTTCAACACCGGAAAGTTCACTCTGGAGAAAAGCCTTTATGAGTGCAGTGAATGTGGGAAATCTTTTAGATGACGCCTTCTTCAACACCAGAGAATTCATTCTGGAGAAAAGCCTTATGAGTGTAGGGAATGTGTGAAGTCCTTTAGACAAAGCTCTACCCTTTTCCAACACCAGAGTGTACACACTGGAGAAAGTTTATCTGAGTGTACTGAATGTGGGAAATCCTTTACCCACAAATCTGACTTCATTCATCACCAGAGAATTCACATTGGCACAAGTTCTTATGAATGCTGGAGAAAACCCTTAGGAATGTGGGGTTTGTGGGAAATCAGGCAGTCAAAGCTTGAACTTCAGTCGACATCAGGGAGGTCACTGTGGTGAAAGGCCTTGTGAGTGCGGTGAATGTGGGAAGCCCTTTACTTAAAAATCTCACCTCATTGAACAGAGTTTCCACTGAAAGACCTAATGAGTGTAGTGAATATGGCAAGTCTTTTAGCCAAAAATCTAACTTCCTTAGACACCGGAGAGTTCATGATGGGGAGAGGCCTCGTGGGTGCAGTTCATGTGGGAAATCCTTTACCTGCAAGTATGATCTCTTTAGACAGTGGTGAGTTGATAGTGACACCAGACCTTACAAGTGTGGGGAATGTGGGAAGTCTTTTGCCAAAGTGCTAGCCTCATTTGACACCAGAGAGGTTACACTGTTAAAGGCCTTATGAGTGCAGTGAATGTGGGAAACCTTTTACCCAGAAATCTAGTCTCTTTAGTCACCAGGGAGTTCACACTTAAGAAAAGCTTTAAATGTGCCAGGAATGTTTTCTTTCTTCAATCAGTGTGGTAACACTGGAGGAGACTGTGTGAGAGACGTTTATCTGAATGTAAAACTCTTTTATCTGAACATAGACTATACAGGATTGCTCATAAGTTTCAGGTATGCGGGAGGTTTGAAGGAGCTGCAATGCACTATCTAACCTGCCCAGGGCTATTGCCAGATTTACGTCACTGCGGCTTTTGTGGGTAAAGCCATTTCATCTCCACCACCTGGCACATCTGCACAGTGTACATCAGTCATTACCCCAGTGTGCTCAAAGAAGCTGACTTTTGTGTTGTCCCATTTCTTTGAGGAAATTATGAATTGCCCGAGCCCTTCATGGAATCATCTTTCCTTTTGCTCTGGCTTTAGGGAATGGACGTGACCCAGTTTCGGTCCAGAGGACCCATCCTCAGCTTGCTTAAGAAGGCCTGCCTTTTTGGGGGGCGTTGTTCTCACATCATGCTTGTGATGTACTCCTCCAGATTTTAATTCTCCAACGTGGAAACTGCTTGCTGCATATTGGTTTATGTTTTTTTCCATAAAAGTCTTTTTGTTTTTGCATCTTTAACTTTATGGTTCTTTTTATAGTGTAGGGTGAGTTGAAAACAGAATTGTGATGTGTTGGCCTGTAAGGGTGATGAGATTTTGTAGGGATCCCAAATTTCCTGTGCTTCAGAAAGGACAGTATGATGGCAGAAATAGCTCTTTGTCCAATATTGTTTTAATTTGCATTGGTGCCCAAGGCCTCGAAAGAAAGACTGGAGGGCTTTGTGGTCCTAATTGTGGCCTAGTGCCACAATCTTTTGGGAGGCCAGAGGTCACTCTGAAGGGGAGATCTTTGCTATGACAACCCCTTGTGCTTCTGTGAACAACAGGAATTTTATTCCTTTGTTCACAGTGTTTATCACATAGTTCCCAGCACATTGAAGGGATCTCTTTCCCAGGTCCTGCAAAGGAGCCCTATGCTATGATGTACAAAATTTCACAGCCTGATATTTGTTGTAAGACTGTAATGGTGAGATGGAAGTGTAATTGCAACAGAAATGCTAGATTAATAGGGAGTGGAGAAGATTGCAGTAAATTGGAAGGAATGTACCTTTTCTAAAAGTTCCTAAATATTCCTGTACTATGGCTTGTGTGATCAATGTATACAGAAGTTCTCAGGACCTTCCTGATTGTATTTCCTGTAGCTGAGTTCATTGGCAGAGAATATCATCTAAAGTTTGGTGGATTCCCACAGCCTCTCTGGTCTGTTCACCCCTGGGCCATTGCTCTATAGGCAGCAAAATAAGGATAGAGAGAAAGGGGATCCAGTTGTCTAAGGATGTGTCTTTTGTGACCCAGCCAGCATTTCTGTTTATTCAGGTGGCAGCAGTCTTCATTGCTTGCTGATGTTTGCTGCAACTGAGGCAAGGCTGCCCCTCCCAGGGTGTGAGGCGGAAGATAGCAGGGTCCATGTAGGGTTGCCAACCTTATGTTCTAGGAAAAGAGAGACAACCTAGGCTTTCATTTGGAACCACTTTTTAAAACTTGGTTAAGGTATAATTTGTATAATTGACAAGCAACTAAGTGCACTTATGTGTACTTTTGCTAAACTTTGACATACATGTACAGCTGCGAAACCATCGGCATACTCCTGAAAATGAACTTATCTGTCACCCACATATTTATCTCATGCTTTTATAATCTCTCTCTCTGTTCCCCAGCCCTCCAGGTGATCATTGATTTACTTTTCTTTATAGTAGATTAGTTCATTCATCTGTGATTTAAAATAGGCATCATAGAGTATATACTCTTTTTACTTACTGGTTTCCTTGTGCCCCATAATTATTTTGAGATTCAACAGTGATGCTTATGTGAGTAGCATTTTTATTGCTGAATAGAATTCTGTTCTATGGATAATGACTTTGTTTATCCATTCATCTGTTTTGGCAATTTGGGTTATTTCCAGGTTTGTGTTATTTTACAAATAAAGCTACTATGAATATTTGTGTCAGTTTTTTAGATGGCTATGTTTTTCTCTCTTGTCGTAGTAAGTCAAACTCTTACATTGTAGGTGAATGTTTAATATTTTAAGAAATGCAAAACTGTTGGTTGTTCTTTCCTGCCAAGAGTATATGAGAACTCCAGTTCCTCCCTGCCAGCACCTGCTATGGTCAATCCAGTTTAATTTTCGCCGTTGATGTAAGTGTGTAGTGGCAGCTCAGTTTGGTTTAAACTGCATATCCTGAAGAATTCATGATGAGCATTTTTCATGCTTTTATTTACCTTCTGTTTGTTTTTGGTAAAATGTCTGCTCATAATCTTTTGTCTATTTTCTTTTTATGAATTTAATTATTTTAACAAATATGAAGACAGTGCAACAACACATACGTTGGGAATTTCACTCATTCATCAATGATTTGAATGACTTCTTTGCTATATGGAACAGTTGTTTTTGAGTACTGGAAGGAACTCTTTTTTCCCTCAACTTTTTGTTCTATGAGCAATTTAAAGTCTACCATACCATAGTCTTAAAGTTTAATCTGCATTGTTAACATATTCACCACTTTCTTAAGTCTAAACATTCAAGAATAGATTAAATGAAGCCTAGGTTTGCAGTCTTTGCCAATTTCCCTGATGTAAATATTCCTATCATGGTCAATTTCAACCTGCCAAAATGATGTCACTGAACATGGATTGGCAAGACATTCCAGGAGCACACCATTATGTTCTGTTTCCAAAGTACTAATACAGTAGCCATAAATACCGTTAAGAACATATATAGTAGTAAAACAGTAAAATGGTTAGGGAGTGGTACGTTTTACATGCTTGTTTTTAAAAAAAAAAAGTTTCAGTATAATTGACTTAAACAGCACATGGATATTTCCATACCTGCTTGCGTATCTGAAACCAAGTTTCCTCCTACCATTTCAATTCATCCTTTTCAACACACAAATTTTGATACAAAGACATATTCTATCTTTGGTAATGGCTATGTTCAAATATGTGTATAAATGGAAAAGACTTTTATGGAGACCTGTGAACCCATCCCAATTTTCCATCACTATCATTTCATGTTTGTTCCTGTGTCTGTCGCTCATTAGTGGGTTATTTTACTTATAATTGTAGATATGTCCATGCATAACCTCTTCAGAATGCATTTCTAGCTGTAAGGACACTTTCATAACTGATAACTTGAATACACAAAAATATGCTAAAATATAAATATGTTAGTGCTGAATCTTATTAATTCAATTAGCTGTTTAAGGTGGATTGATTGCAATCAAGATAAAAAATATATTTGTATGGCTTTTATCAGGTGTGTCTTTTAAGTCTTTACACCTACATGTACCACTTACCTCTTTCCTTTTCACTAAAAAATGGTTTATTAAGGTGTTTATGCTTTATATAATTTGTTCCATATTTCTTGTGTAATAAAAAGCCTGATTGCCCCTGAATAATCCAGATGTCTATAGTACAGACGTGTTTATACTATACTTCCTGATACTTAACATAATTGCACTTCTTAGAACAATGGGAGAACTTTGATTCATCACCCAGAGTAAAAATACAGAATATATTAATTTATTTTCTCCTAAAGAGGATACACTTTGTATTTGGAGAACTAGATTACATTGGCAGTTGCCTTTGGAGAATGATCAGTAAATTCCTTATCATTGTTCAGATGTTGATATGGTGGCCATTGTCTGTGGCACACATTAATCTTCATACCTTCAGCTCCTAACTGTAATTCCGCCTTTTTGGCTTCAATTTGAATGATAGCCATTGTTTTTTTCATAATTCCTGTCAGGACCGTCAAACAAAGTACAGGCAATTACACTTGATATAGGATGCTTGAAATATTCCCAGTGTTCTGAAATATAGCCTTCTGGAATTTCTGCTAACTCAGCTTGACCAATGAATACATTCACCAGAGTTATGCCAATTGCTGCTGGAATCACAGTCAACAAAATGTAGAATTTCACTAAATTCAAAAGACAGTTTCATAGAATCCAGAAGTTGTGATGATAAATAGTCTTTTCCTGTGGTCTCCACTGTGTCCCACAGGAAGTAAGTCTTTGGAAGGCCACGAGTGAAGAAACGCCTGAATCCAAGTCAACTGCCAAGCTGGCAGCGAGTGAGAGTGTCTGTCGCACTGACCAAAGCCCACTGCGATAACCTCATGGCTCCTGTGGCTACTAGGGGAAATAAGAAAGCCGTGTACCTCTTTTTTCTTATGTATAT